GCGTATCTTTGGCGGGTTTTAACATCTTCTGTTTCTGCAGTGCTCACCGGATTACGCATATGGTACTGGTGGATTTCCGGCATGGGGGATCCAACCAAACTCGGTCCTCGACTTTGAAATCGAAGTACTTGGCGTGCAGTGATGATCTCTCTGTGAGAAGATTCTTAAATCTATAAAGCACAAAGCTTGACATGTGTTAGATTGTTAAGTGGTTACAACCCTTTTATCTTTGTCGCTTCTGGGATCTTGATGAAACAAAACTTTCTGATGCTCTTCTAAACTCTTTGGACAACGTTTTATCTAAATAAAAAAGACCCATGTCTTGTTTCAATATTATGAGGATGATGATACTACTGTTATTTCATTTTACGTTTCTATAATTGCAAGTGTGGATGTTGTTAGGATTGTTCATCTGAATGTTTGAGTGTTTTAATAAATAAATCGAAATGATCCCAATGATAAACATATTTTATTTTCAAGTTGGTTGAAATGCTTAATTATCCGAAGAATAAATTATATTCAAACCAAATTAGCTTTTGATTTGGGTGTGATAAGTTGAAACCATGATGAAATTTGAATTCAACAATTTGCTAACACAGTAATTACTATTCTTAATATCAAATCAAAGATGAAAAAAAGACTAAAAGTTAAAAGCTTTTTTCAGACAAGATGGTGTAAGTTAAGAAAAGAAAGGAAGAAAAGAGAAATGCGAGAGAAGTCGTGCGGGTAATTAAGCACTTAAAATTCCCGTGCAATTTCTTTAATCATCACTTATGCTCCTTTTCTTTTTTCTTTTTTCTTTTTCCTTTTTCGTTTTCATTTTCATTCCTTCCTTTTCTTTTTCTTTTCACCCACATTCCCCAATCACATAAGACTTTTATGACGACAGTATTTTAAATAAATGAAGTCTACAGAATACTAAAAAAAATTAAAACAAAAGTATTCAGCTAAATTTGGCGTTGTATAATCTAGATACTATTTTGTTAAATAAGATAACAAAAAAAGTGGTTGGGTTTTATTCTTTTCCGTCACAATGGGTGTTTGAAAACACAACACGCACCTGAACAAATGTATTAGAATATAATTTTAAGGATATAAAAGCTTGAGCACACTTTCACTAACTTAGCTTTCAATAAAATTAAAGAGAAAACGTATGGACTTTTACTTTAGAGAACAATCAACAAAGTATATAACACAAAAAAAAAACCTAAATTGATTAGAAAATATAGAAACAAATATTATTTTAATCTTAAAGTATAACCTGAAATTATGGACCGTGAGACTTTGTCATCATATATACCATAATTACGTATATACACGTTCGGCCCCCTTGTCCCATTTCTTTCAAGCAACGCACCAATAACAATTGCTTCCGTTTTAATCACAAAATTAATCTCCAAGTAACATTATTTATATTCCTTTACAATATCGAAATTCCAATTGTACAATTCGTAATCTGTTGTAACCTTTGCGTCTGTTCACTAAAAAATGCGTACTTTTTAAAAAATCAGATATACAAAACTGTACTTAGAAGATATAATAAGTATATATATTCAAATCCAAATTTATTTGATTATACTTTTAATCTAAAACCAAACTGAAATAAAATCCGGCTTTAATTTACGAAAACCTTAAACCGATTCGAACCAAAACAAAACCGAATACCCAAGGCCGGATTTAGAGTGTTTTCAAACTGATAGTAGTAAACATACTATGAGGGTGATTATATAAATATAAAGATATAAAAGGGCAAAAGTGTCATAAAACCTTTTTATAAAGCCATGTTACTCTTGTTGCCATTTAAAACTCTTCGTAAACAAAAAATTATACGGAACTTACACATTATTGCTCGTTGGTCACTTTCATCTCTCTTATCCCTTTGCTTTTCCATTGATTCAGCTAACCCAAAAAAAAGTTATCATCGTTTTCTCTGGATCTGAGCTAAATATCGTTCCTCTGTTTCGTCTCTGTAAGGTATCAAATTCGATTTTTCACTCTCTCTCTCACTCCCTCTACTTTGTTTTCGCTCTTATCGCCTGTGTCACTGTTTTCTCTGTTTGTGTATCGGGAGCTTTTGGTTAAAACGGTTTAAATCCTTCATGATTTGACGAATTTCTTTGATTTAATTCTGGAATCTGGCTTAGAACATTGTGGTTTGTATATACTCTTGAGTTGAAATTGTAAATGTAGCGTAGCTTTCATCAGATGTTTATGATTCTGTGTCCTTTGAATGTTGTTGTGATATCTGGATTTAGTCCCATTTGTGGTGTTGATGAGATGCTTCCTTCGATTTTGCACAGATACTAAAGTTTTGGAAAGTAAAATTGAATACAAGCAGTGGATGATCAGAATCAAAACTTAGTGTATAAGAGAAGCAGCATGTGTTGGTTCACTACTTCTGTTGACGTATACCGCAAAGTTGTTCCCTTGAATCTGTATTGCCGTGTGATTTTGTAAAGTCTCCTCTTTCCTCAATACTCAAAAAGTCCTCTTCCCTTCTTATTATTCATCTTCCCTTCGTTTTTCTACACATTTTAAACACTTTAGTTTTCCAAATGGGATCCCAACATTTCTACGTGTACCATTGTGAACAAAGAATCAGCTAGACAAAAAAAAACTCCTTCTGTTCTGTTTTCCTCTTTTCTTCGGTTGGTCTCTGTCTGATTCTCATTCAAGGTTTCCTCAAAGTTATGGTGTGCCAATCCCCTGGTAAGACAAGATTTCGAGCTTTGAAGTACGAGACAGGTGACGCTAACAGACCAACAATTGTAGTGAGAGTTATTGCATGCTTTCGACCGATGGATAATTGCCAGGTCCGTAAGCACAACACAAATCATGCTGTCTCATTTATTATACTTTTAGCTAACTTGTTTTTAGTCTATTAACACTCTTATTTTGTTGTGTTTCAGGCTGAGTACTTCAGACTTCTACTTAAACCAGTCACGTAGTTGGTTTGTGAATTTCCGCTGTATTTTTCTGTTTTCGTTCGTTTGGTCTCTTCTTTCTTTCACTACTTATTCGAAAAGGTAACAAGAAGTATTGCATTGAGCAACTTAACAATCGGTATGTCAACTAATCTCCCCTCATTATCTTATAAAGCTGCTTGATATATACTTCTTGATCTGATTTGTGCCTTTCGTTGGTCTTGCAGTGTTTGTACTCTTTAAAGTTCCCTTGAGTTAAACTGTAAGAGCATGCCTCTTGATACCAGGAAACTGGATTTGCCTCTGGGCTTAAATCCTCAAGCTTGCTTTGAGGACATAACAGCTCGGTCTGGAGTTCCTCTCCCTGAGCTTGGGAAACTATATGCAGCTGAGCCTCAGTCTCGCTGTTTGCAGCCACCACCATTCCAGTCATTACTGTGCAGTCATGATAAAGAGTCTTTTGGAAAACGATTCTCGCTGTCTGACATGCGGTCTTGGTGCGCTGCTGCTGCTGCTACTCCACACGGAGCGTTGGAGTCTTCTCAGAAAAGACTTATGATTTTCGACCAGTCAGGAAACCAGACTCGTCTACTTCGGTGTCCATTTCCTCTGCGGTTCCCATCTCCTGCGGCTGCGGAGCCAGTGAAATTCTCTGAGTTACACGGTCTAGCGAAAGCTTTCAGGGAAGACTGTGAAGAGAATAATGATTTAAGTGGGAAAGAGTCGGAAATGCATGAAGACACTGAGGAGATCAATGCATTGCTGTATTCAGATGGTGATTATGATGATGATGATGATGATTGTGAGAGTGATGATGAAGTAATGAGCACTGGTCACTCTCCTTATCCCGTTGAACAAGTTTGCAACAAAAGGGAAATGGAAGAAACTGATGGTCCTTGTAAAAGGCAGAAACTACTGGATAAGGTCAAAAACATCAGCGACTCATCATCACTTGTGGGCACTAAGAGCGGATCGTCCTTTGTTATGGATAAAAAGCTCCCTGGATCAAACATTTCGACCAAAGAAGACACTGGTTCTGGTCTGAGCAACGAGCAGTCGAGACAAGACAAGATCCGTACAGCTTTGAAGATACTCGAGAGCGTAGTTCCGGGTGCAAAAGGAAACGAGGCTCTCTTACTTCTCGACGAAGCCATTGATTACCTAAAGTTACTGAGACGAGACTTAATCTCCACAGAGATTAAGAACCACTGCTGCTAAACAAAAAACCTCCACCACCCACACCAGTCACTAGTCACCAATCTTGTTTGTAAAAGTGACACAAGATGGGGAACAAGAAATCTACAGACAGATAAGGCATGAAGATTCTCACGAGTGAAAACGTGTGTGAAGTGGCGTTGGGTCCGTATCCTCTGCACCAGCTTTTTAGCTGTATATAGTGGACTACTTTAGGTATATATGCTTCTGCAATTTCAAAAAGTTAAAGAAGAAAAGAGGTCACTTTCTTCTTCTCTCTGTGCTTTGTGTGGAAAAAAGCCAAAGTCGTCATGGTCATTGATCGACAATGATTATCTTTTTTGGCTGAGTGTGGATGGTGAAATCAAAAGGCAATATTCAAAGTCTGATCTCAAACTCGCGTGGTCTGTGAATCTCCCCTAAGGTAATAAAAAAAATCTGACCCACACTCTCTTTTGTCAATATGATGACTAAAGTGGGTCCAATGATTTTGTGAATTGATGTCATCATGTTCGTGTAATTAATTTTAGTGTCTGTAATAATGCAAACCATTCCTTTGTCTTTTGCTTCCCCACTTGCTGCTGGTTTTGTTCTTGTGTCTTTGAGTCTCTGTTCACTGTTCTTGTTTTCTCAGTGTCTGTTGTCACGTTGATTTGGTTTTGTCGTTTGGGTTTTGTAATAAACCAATGTTATAAAATTGGGTTTCTGTATGAGTTTCATTAGGGACATAAGAATGAACCGAATCTTTATGTCACTTATTCCACATTAGAAATCAATAGCATTACAAAATTAGGACCAAAACAAAAAAAGCGTTTCTTTTTCCAAAGAATCAAATCAAAGAACACACAAAAGTTGCTCACTTGAAATATTTTATCAACTTTCTCAAGAAATCGAGTTCCTCCATCGTCTTGGTTTCCTCGCGGGTTGATGTTCAACACCAACTTGTTCTCCTCCGACCAAATCTTGACTCTCCGGTCCACTCATCTTAGTCAGTTTGCTTAACTTCTTCCAACCGCTGGTCCAAGCCGAAGACGAAGGGTTCTTCACTTTCCCGGTCTTCTCAAACTGTCTTTGCATCACTTCCATCTCATTCTGAAGCTCAACATACTTCGTTTTCACCGTCTCTAACTCGAATTTCAACGTGTTAATATCCTTCTTAGCTGCAGCCCACCCTTCCTGTTTTTCAAAAATTACAATGATAAGCAGAAAGAAGAGAGTTTCTTGTATATGAATCTGATATGAGTCTTTCTCTTACTTGCCTGAAACGATTGTGGTGTGGCTTCGATCAGTGTCTTGCGGTTTGGGATCATAGGTTGATACGTACCCATGGCTTCCCCAAGCGTGGTCGACTCCTTGAGTGATGTGTTGGCTAAGGCATTGCTGATTTTGACTTGCTCCGAGAAGAGCACTTGGACCACCACTCGCAATGGCAACCGCTCGTTCTGAGCCGCGTGCATACACGCGTCCATCGATAGCTTTTGACAGTCCATCACTCGGCATAGCCGCTTCCTCTCGTGTTCCGACAATGTCGGATGCGCCTGTCCATCAAATCAAAGCAAAACCAAAAACTCCACGGAATGAAACAGTTTCGTTGAGTTTGGTCACGATCTTCACGAAATTTACCAATATATGAATATATATACCTTGAGATATGAATCGATTGCTCTGTATAGCCCATCGTCACAGGTCCTTGCGGATTCAGGCAACGCCTCAGCCAAAACCTGAAACTTTGTCAGTGGCAAGTTCCGATCTCTAGCCACTTCAGTGAGATAACTATCCACAAGCCTCGCGACTCTCATCTTCGCGTTCTGATTAACGTTACCGTTGTTGCTATTCGCTCTCGGGATCCCGGCGTCGGCGTACATAGACGGCGACGGCGACATTCTACTCGGACTAGACCCTTCCGTCTGCTCTTGAACGAGAAAGTGTTCCAACAACCTCTGAACAAGATCAACATCGTACATTGTCTCCCCTTTGTTGTTGTAACCCGGAATCAGAAGATCCTGAAGAGTCGCCTGCTCGAACTGCATCCCGACTCGTTTCTCGAGCTCCGTGATCAACGCCGGAGCTACTTTGAGCATGTTGGCTGCTCTGAGGAGACGGAGGAGGAAGCTACAAGAGACGGAATCTTTCTGTGGAGGGATGATGCTGATTAGTGACTCGACGATCATTCGCTGGTCTTTAGGGCTGATTCCGATTCCGGCGAGGCAAGCGACGGAGTCTTGATGTCCGTTGGTTTTCCCGGAGAGGACCATGTGGAGACCGCCTTTCCAATCGGGACCGGAGCTTCCTCCGCTGCTATTGCTTCCGCAGCTCACACTCATTTCGTCTCCTCCTAAACCTAAGCCTCCTCCAATGGAGGACATTGCTGGAGCTACTGCGACTCCTCCTTCTTTGATCAAACCCGGAAGCCATTTTCCGGCGTAATGCATAATTGCAGCTCCGAGAAGCTCAAATCTCATACCTTTCACCTGTTTCAAAGCGTCATTAAAGAGTTAAGAGGATTGAAATATGTACACCAAGTGTTTGTGAAAATGCTCGACAGAGAGAGAAGAATCTATGGTAATACCTTGATTGCAGTGATCACACGAACGAAGTGATCGATCCTCAAGATTGAAACATCTTCGAACCACCAATCGGGAGGAACAGGCTGGGTGTTAGTGTTCCTACTCGGGCTACAATAGAAACTTGAATCCTTGGATTCGTTCCATTTCGGACTAGAGCTCGCGAAATTGTTAGTGGTCGATGGAGATGGAGATTTCCCTGTGTAAGCCCATCTAATCCCTTTAGGGTTACTACAAGCCTTCCAAGCGATGGATTCGCTGCACCTCCTCACAATCTGAAGATTCTCAGCCCAAGGCGAGAGCTTCTCACAGCTCTTTAGAACCAAGATGGAGTCTCTCCACGAAGACAGAACCACGTAGCTGAGAAAAGCTTCTGTCTTGAAGATTAGATTCCCTTCCTCAAGATCCTCTGTCATCTCGAGATACTCAGCTGCACAACGAAGACCTGATATGTTAGTTGCCGTGAGATCCACGGGAACTCCGTAGCAGAATTTGGCTGCGAGTTCAAACGCTTCTGGTCCTCCAGGTAGATCATCAAGAATAAGTATCGTTGGGTCAGGCTCTCTTGACTCGTAGATCAATCTGTTCATCTTCCCGCTACGTGACAGCAAAGGATACTGAAAGAAGGAAAGAAACAAAGACAAAAATATAGAAAAATTCCATTAAACTTCTCTGAAGCTCCAACGTGATATAATATTGACTCAAGAACATTCATACCTTGTGCAGGTGAAAGTTCATGTCGCCGATTTTAACCAGAAGGTCGCTGGGGATATCCGTAGCAACAAACCTAATCAAAGCAAATGTTTTAATATGAATCTTAACTTCCATAACAAGGAAAGATGGTTTGCATAGACTGTATAGTGTTTTTTTTATTAAAAAAAAGTTGGAGGGCAATACCAAGATTGGCCTCTAAGCTCGAACCCATCAGTCTTGACGCCGCCATGTTTGTTAGAACTCAGAACTCCGTTACCATACTCTCTTCCTCCTCCTCCTAAAACCCCGGAATCACTCTCAGATTCCCACATCATTCACGGATTAATCCTTAGTGATGGAAGAAAATAATGACTAAGATAAGATATTAGAGAGGAGAAGATTGAAGTGAAAAGAGTGAGTTGTAACAAACAGTTACAAGAGAAGAGAGATTGATTAGTTTTGATTATAAAGATGAGAGAGGGAGAGAGAAAGAGAGAGAAGAGATCATCCCCACATGGGATGCTTTGAGTATTGGAGCTTTCTCTGAATTGTCTATTTTCTCAGAGAGTTTTGGAAAATCAACGTCTCATATATCTACAGCCTGGGAAGTAATGGGCTTAAACTCTCTGCTTCTCAATTATCATATCTATTTCCTATAATTCCTTAACATTTTTTTTGTTATTTTAATTTTGCCCATTCTTATCATATAATTCAAGATATTCTATCTGTCTATTTTGATTTTACATAAACATTATTGAGTTACTGACAGTTGCAGTGAAGATATGAGTTGGTTAAGAAGAGAAAACAAAAAAAAAAAATGATTGGGTACATAAAAAAAATGGGAGGGACAAGTTGGAGAGTGAGTGTCATTAACTATGACAAAGCCTCATTCCTTCTTCTTTGCCTGTCTGTTTTTGATGATGTTGAATCACATCTCTATGTACAATGCATTTAACTTTCTTTTTGTTTCTTTGCTTCCTTTTCTTCTTTGAGGCTTCTTATTGGGTCCATTTTCCTAATTTTTCATTCTCAATTTTGCATAAATCTCCTCTTGCTTTCTCTCAAATTATTCCTCTTCTTTCCTTAATCTAAATGTTCCAGCAATACACTTTCAAGAAATAGTTCGAAAGTGATTAGTTCTCTACCAGTTAGAAAGAAGTTGTTTCATTTTCACTGAATCTAGATTTAAATACTGTTTCAGTGTCACTGGATCCGAATATAGATATATTGTTAAACTAAGCCATGCACTTAACAAATTATAGAGCATAAAGCAGTACTTGGTGGTCTAATACTTCGTAATAGCATGAACATATCATGAGACATAGTTATATTATATACAATATAAGTTTTCACAGTGATAGTTCAATGGTTGTTGGGTAGTGAAAGATAATTGGAAGAAAAAGTTGGAGGAAAATTAAAAGAGAGCATTAAAAACAAAGGTTGTTCATTCATACATAAATGGGAAGATAGAGAAAGAAGAAGTGGTCCATAAGAATGTCATCTACGTTACCATATATAGATACACACTAATTATATATCAGTCGCAATCCTTCACTTAATTTGAGACTTGGTGGTCTCTAATACATCATGAGAAATTGTTAAAAATCATAGCCCTTGATCATAACATAGATCGATGAGTTTATATCAAATTGTTATTGATCAACGCTATGATTGTGGCAATGGGTTGCGCATATTAAAGTCGACTTTCACTTACGATTATTTGTTATCATCACCTATACAGATTATATTTGATTAAAACACGTTTTATAACAAGTACTTTTCATTAATTATACTTTGGTTTTAAAGTGTTTTAGTCACATTGTAACTCTAGAAACATATGTCATTGGTGGTCTTATCCAAGAAACAATCCCCACGTTATAACTCTTACCTCCACATATCTAAAGTCCATAATTATATAATGGCCACATATTGATTGGATTGTTACGAGGGGTTTAAAGCAGATGAGGTCAATATGTTTTCCTTTTTTAATACACAAAACACACAGAGTAATAATGTGATCTTTATATAAACAAATCAATATTGTATCATATACACACATTATTGGCTTACGTACTAAATCGCATTATTGATGATGGTGGTGGTGATAAAAGGTTCCACATCGACTTCATATGTCTAGAATTGTCTGTTCCAATTAGACCGGATCTAATTATCCGACGGCTGTCCTTTCGTTAAGTGGAAAACGTTAAGACAAAATCTAACGGTTAGGATCTTCCTCAAGTCACTTCCCTTTCTCGGTTTTGTTTGGGCTCAAAAACTTAGTACTTTCCCTATTTGTGTACTGGCCCAACTGGAGATTGGAAAAAAAAAAGAATATTCGAACCCTCTTAGCGATATAGAGGCTTAAGGGATCCGGAAGGGTAAATTGGTAACTCCAAAGGCAAATGTTCTAATGGTCTTCTTTCTCATCAGAACCAGAAAGACAGCCTCTCTCTCTCTCTCTCTCTCTCACAGTAAAAATCCTCTCATTCCGAGATTAATGTGGCTTTTAGGGTTATGCTTGCGAGATCAAAGCTTGCTCTAGATTTGAGCAGAAGATCACAGTCTTTGCTGAGACTATCCTGTTCCTTTTATGCGAGTCTCTCATCTGGATTTGGTTGTGGCGGCGGCGAGAATGACGATGGCGGCGGATTACCGGGAAACGGTGGTTCCGATTCAACCAACGAATGGGAGAAGCTTCTTAAACCATTCGATCTCGACTCGCTCAGAAATTCATTTCATAAGATCACTCCTTTTCAGCTCTGTAAGCTACTTGAGTTACCTCTCGACGTACCCACGTCAATGGAGTTGTTCTCATGGGCGGGTTCTCAAAAGGGTTACCGTCACTCCTTCGATGTGTACCAAGTGCTTATAGGTAAGCTCGGTGCGAAAGGTGAGTTTAAGACGATTGATAGATTGTTGATGCAGATGAAGGAAGAAGGGATCGGTTTTAGAGAATCTCTTTTCATTTCGATTATGAGAGATTACGGAAAAGCTGGGTTTCCTGGACAAACTACGAGATTGATGTTGGAGATGAGGAATGTGTTTTCCTGTGAACCCACTTTCAAATCTTACAACCTTGTCTTGGATGTTTTGGTTGCTGGCAATTGTCACAAAGTTGCAGTCAACGTGTTCTACGATATGCTTAGCCGAAGAATTCCTCCAACGCTTTTCACATTTGGAGTTGTGATGAAAGCTTTCTGTGCGGTGAATGAAATCGATTCGGCTCTGTCTCTGCTCAGGGACATGACGAAACATGGCTGCGTCCCGAACTCTGTGGTTTACCAGACTCTTATACATTCTCTATCCAAGTGTAGCAGAGTGAACGAAGCGCTTCAACTTCTCGAGGAGATGCTTCTGATGGGCTGTATCCCTGATGCTGAGACGTTCAACGATGTTATCCTTTGCCTCTGTAAGTTTGATCGGATTAACGAAGCTGCCAAAATGGTGAACCGGATGCTGATCAGAGGGTTTGTTCCTGATGATAAAACTTATGGCTATCTGATGAACGGACTGTGTAAGATCGGTCGGGTTGATGCTGCAAAGGATCTTTTCAGCAGAATTCCGAAGCCGAATGTTGTCATCTTTAACGAGCTTATTCACGGGTTTGTGACTCATGGAAGACTTGATGATGCTAAAGCTGTTTTATCAGATATGGTAACGTCTCATGGTATCGTTCCTGATGTCCGCACGTTCAACTCGCTGATCGATGGATACTGGAAGAAGGGTCTTGTGGGTTTGGCTATGGAAGTTCTTCAATATATGAGGAAGAAAGGATGTAAGCCTAACGTCTGCTCTTATACTATCTTGATCGATGGTTTCTGCAAGTTAGGACAGATAGATGAAGCCTACAATGTTGTGAATGATATGTCTGCCGATGGATTGGAACTCAACACTGTTGGTTTTAACTGTTTGATATCGGCCTTATGCAAGGAGCATCGAATCCCGGAGGCCATCGATATTTTCAGAGAGATGCCGAGAAAAGGCTGTAAACCGGATGTGTATACATTCAATTCGATGATATCCGGACTCTGTAAGGTTGACAACATTGAGCATGCCCTGTGGTTACACAGAGACATGATATCAGAAGGTGTTGTTGCCAACACTGTTACTTACAACACCCTGATCAACGCGTTTCTCAGAAGAGGCGAAGTACAAGAAGCTCGTAAGCTAGTCAATGAGATGGTTTTCCAGGGATCCCCGCTTGACGAGAAAACCTACAACGGTCTGATAAAAGGGCTGTGCAGGGCCGGGGAGGTCGATAAAGCGAGAAGCCTGTTCGAGAAGAGGTTAAGTGACGGGCTTGTACCGAGCACCATCTCCTGCAACATACTTATAGACGGGCTATGCAGAAACGGGATGGTGGAAGAAGCGGTTGAGTTTCAGAAAGAGATGGTTCGTAGAGGATCCACACCGGACATTGTGACGTTTAACAGTCTGATAAACGGCCTGTGCAGGGCCGGTAGGATCGGTGATGGTTTGGCAATGTTTAATAAGCTTCAGGCTGAAGGTATCTCGCTTGATACGGTGACGTATAACACTCTGATGAGTTGGCTGTGCAAAGGTGGTTTTGCTGATGATGCGTGCTTTCTTCTGGGTGAAGGTATTGACGAAGGTTTTGTTCCAAGTGTTAGAACTTGGTCCATTTTGTTGAAGAGTTTTGTTCACCAGGAAACACTAGATCGACAAAGATTCTATGAATTAGTTCGTTGAAGCTATTAACACGAGTTTTGTTTGGTTAATCTAACTGTGAATATTTTCTTCATTATAATTTCAGTTTTAGACACCTCAATTTTTCAATTAAAATGTCCATTAGGCTACTATTGAGTCTTCAAGGCCCATCTTTTGATGGATATGTAACTGTTATACTATTGTTATAATTAAAACGTCCATTGGGCTTCTATTGAGTCCTCAAGGCCCATATTTTGATGGATATGTAATTGTTATACTATTGTTTCAATTAAAACGTCCATTGGGCTACCATTGAGTCCTCAAGGCCCATCTTTTGATGGATATGTAACTGTTATACTATTGTTTCAATTAAAACGTCCATTGGGCTATTGTTGAGGCCTGAAGGCCCATATTTTGATGGATATGTTGTTGCTGTTATATTTTTGTTACTCTCCATTTTCTCATTTCTCATTGGGCTAATTTCCTATTAGTAGAATATTAATGCAGTATGCGAATATATGCAAAATCATTAAGACAAGGCATGTTACCATTATTCTCTTTAACTACAACTACACATTATGTGTTTTCTGTATCGTAGATCATAATTTGTCGAGAGAGAAGTTTTTTTAAGGGTTCCTGGCCGATGCCTGGATGTTTCTTTAGCTCCGTCATCGGTCAGATGATTTATTTTGTTAGTTTTCCATATTATTTTTTTTTGTTTCGGTTGGTTTTTTTATTTTTTTTTGGATCTGAAAAAGTTTTTTTGATTGATTCTTGGTTTCTCTTCCTTTTTTATCGGTGTTTTCCTTGACTTTTGTCGATTCTATCTGTCGCTTTCCACAACGTATATGTTTAGCTTGGTGTTGAGTTTGGACGACTCAGTTTAGTTTCCTCCATTATAAATTACAACCAGATCTGGTTGAGATTTGTATTTGCTTTTGTCTCCGCAGTACCAGATTTATGTCGTTTTATATTGATAATATCAGTTACAACATTTTTAGACGGTTTTAAACCACTTCAATAGAAGTTCCGTCATGTCAATTCAAGAAGCATATTTCATACTTGCCGAAGTCTACTTATTACCAAGTGAGAAACAAGAAGATTTGAAAATCTATTCTAAATATTTTTTCAAATTCTTTAGAAATCTTTGTTAATTGGGTTTATAATTTGTTGATTTGATTTGTAAAAAATCTTATAATCATGATAACTTTTTAGCTGATCTCTCGTTGTAATCACATATTTGGTGATTTATTATATTCAATAAAAGTTATAATCAGTCTTGTTGAACTTTACAGTATTGTTCATCATGCTGCAACCTGATTTACTTTTACTTATGACTTGGGCATGTTAATATATATTAGTCATTGCGCTAATTACAGTATTGTTCTTCATGCTGCGACAATTGATTTGGGCATGTTACCTTATATATCTTAAATTATATAACCTCTTTTTTTAAAGTTGTAGAACGTGAATTGCAATATTACAGATCATAATTATGTTTCACTTTGCAATAATCAACTCATTGAACAATAAAGTATAAACGTTTAGCGATACTCTGTTCCAGTAAATATTTGAATATGATAAACTCATATATTAGTATGGATGCATAAAGACATCAATAGGATCAACAAAAAGGGCAAACACATCATATCCTGATAGAAAAAAAGAACCATAATAAAAAAAAAAGAATCATCTCTCTGCAAAAGCACATATATATCTTAAATAAATAAATTAATTAAACCCTACTTCATCTAAAAATCTTCATTCGTCGAACCTACAGAACAAAAGCGGCAACGGTTAACATAACCGCCGCGGATCCGAAGACGGCGAAGCTATTGGAAACCGCACCGCTGACCGGAGAGGGAGCTTGGGTCGGGGAGTCGGTGGACGGATTAACAGCCGGCGAATCTGAAGGAGTATCAGCTTGGGGTGGGGAAGGAGGTGAGGATGAAGGAGAATCTACTGGAGGCGACGAAGGAGGAGAGGATGAAGGAGAATCTGCTGGAGTCGATGCAGGAGAAGGAGAAATCGCCGGTGCAGGAGTTGTCTTCTTAGGTGCAGGCGCTGGTGAGATGCGTCTTCCTCCACCGCTAGATGGAGCCGGAGCTGGAGCAGGAGACTGGGCCACCGCGGAGGCAACTATAAGAGCGGCGAGAAGAAGAAACCCTAGAACTTTCGAGAAAGCCATTGTAAGAGAGAGATTCGAGTTTAGCTGTTTCGGAAAGTTTTTTCTTTTGTGGGGGAGTGTTTGCTTGATTGCTTTGTTATTTACGACCTCTCGGTGACGAGTCTTTATATAGGGAAGAAGGGGTTCCACTGTTTTTAAGGTGTATGGTGAATCTACACCGTTGATATGAAAACATTAGACCCAACTTTAATCTAACGGTTGAGATTTGATTTGTACGTTAAGAAAGCAAAAAGGTGGGGACAGACAAAGTCTAATGAGAAAGGAAAAAAAAAAAGACAACGCGGTTGGCGCAAACCCCTTGACTACGGTGCTAACGGCTCTATGACAGCTGTGGTTATGGAATCACGAGCGTACACGTGTTGGGTCATATTGACGCGTGATGGAAAAGGGAAATATGCCCGTTGTGTTATGAGAAACATTTCTTTTTTTTCTGAACAATTACATTTCTTTTCTTCCATACTTAATTTATTCAATTCCACCCTGTTTCTTTCTTTTTCTTTTCCTTTTCATATATCTTCTTACACATTCATAATTTGATTTTTTTTTTTAGATTTACAGCTATTAATATCTAAGCTATCCCCTTATGTATATATTTCCTCTTCCGTTGTATGTATCTAATAAATAATACCCTTCTTTATTTATTAATGTTAATTTTACAATTTTTTTATCAAATGTCCCCGAGGGAACTTTAATGTTAATTTTACATTTTGACAAGTCTTTGTACTGTAAAAGACAAAAAGAAGAATAATATTCGAGTGAATATAGAAGGATCTAGAAAATCTGTAATTAGCATATACTGTATAGTTATTATTATTTAGATATTATGGAGATTTGTATCTATCTAGCTTTGAAAATTTCTTTACTAGATAAACCCATGTAATCCAATCATATTAATACGAGAGTCAATATTTTTTTACATCATAAGCTCTCATCAATCTAATAGAGATTTTGAACAGCTTCCTGTTAGTAGTTTCCAGAGAGACTTGAAGTCAAATTGTATTGTAAGCTATATATTAACGAAAATCGACTTGAATCTACTCTTCAATCATGACAATTTAATTGTGGTTTTATAAGGGATCAAGCAAACTCACTTCTAGTCAATCCAGAGTATAACAAAGTAACAATGATGAAAATTTCGTAACACAAGAATTGTTAAAAAAATCAAATAAAGATTAGATTAGAACATAAACCAATCCAATCATAAATCTCTGATAGATCAAACGTCTTTTCTTGCTCTTCTGTGTCTTGTTTCTTTCCTGGTTTGGAAGTACTGTATTATCTATATTTTTCTTCTCGGTTTGCTTTGGTTCGATTTGATTCCGTCCTGGTTCTCGAGCTTACGACTCAGACTCGGTGGTTGCAGCATCATCAGTCTTCTCGACAACGTCGCCTTTGAACTTGAGGCCATACATGTGACCCATCTTGGTCCGCTTAGTCTCCAAATATTTCTTGTTCTCCTTTGTGATAAGACTCAAGAGAGGGACTCTTCCCACAATGGCTAACCCATATCCTTTCAGGCCGATGTACTTGGCGGGATTATTCGTCATCAGCTTCATCGTCCTCACTCCCAGATCCCTTAGCATCTACAAACATCACATTGAACACGAATCAGTAAACAAAAAAAAATGTTGGCTTTTTGAATGTTCATGACCTCTTTATTTTAAATACCTGTGCACCAATTCCATACTCTCTAGAATCAACAGGAAGTCCTAATTCCTCATTAGCTTCAACCGTGTCGCGACCAGCATCTTGCAGGTTGTAGGCTCGGAGCTTGTGTCCTAAACCGATCCCTCTTCCTTCATGTCCACGTAGGTAAACCAACACACCTCGACCAGCTGCCTCGATCTGCTGCATCGCAAGGGCTAGCTGGTTCCCGCAATCGCACCTCGCTGACCCAAATATGTCCCCCGTGAGACATTCCGAATGAACCCTCACTAGAATGTCTTGACCGTCACCAATCTCTCCCTGGCCACAATTTTAGACAGATGGGATTTAGCTAAATCCTCGGATGTTCTCAAGTCAAATGAAAAGATAAAAGCATCGGTCCTCTAACCTTAACCATTGCAATGTGCTCTATTCCGTCTAATATGGACTTGTAGCAGTAAGCTGTGAAAGGCCCCCACATTGTCGGGATCCGTGCCGCAGAAGAACGTTCCACTAGCTTATCACTCTTCCTCCTATATCTGTCATTTTACAAAACATAAAGTTTACATCTTTAGCTTCAAGATAATTAGATAAATGAAATGAGGCTCAAAGAATATTATAGAGATTGCGCCTAACCTGATCAAGTCTGCAATGGAAACGATTTTCAGGTTATTCTCAGCTGCAAACTCGCGGAGCTTTGGTAATCTAGCCATGGAACCATCATCATCAACAATTTCACACAGAACTCCAACAGGATCTAGTCCAGCTAAAACAGTAAGATCAACAGATGCTTCAGTGTGCCCAGCCCTTTTCAAAACCCCGCCTTCTCGATACTTGAGCGGAAAGATATGCCCTGGGCGGTTGAAATCCTCGGGCTTTGAATCTCTCGATGCAAGGGCCAATATCGTTGTTGCCCTGTCACGAGCTGATACTCCTGTTGTCGTACCGTTTTTGGCATCCTATAAAGCAAAGAATGAGCCAAAACAAAATCTTCAAAATCCAGCACCAAGATCAAAAGATTTTATTTTTAAAGACCAAAATGCATACCACAGTCACTGTGAATGCAGTGGAGAGCTTTTCTTCGTTTTCCTTCTGATTCACCATTAGAGGAAGGCGCAGTCTCTCGAGGTCATCATCTTTCATGCTCACACAAACTATACCAGTTCCATGTTTCACAATGAAAGCCATAGCCTCGGGTGTAGCTAACTGAGCAGCCATTACCAAATCTCCTTCATTTTCTCTATCTTCATCATCCACAACCACCACAAACTGCAACATAACCGCCAAAAATCAACAAAGGAAAAGGAAAAGGAAACAAACAAACAAAAAAGAGCCAACCATATATTTTAGCAAAGCAAAGAAAAAACGAACCTTTCCTTGGCGTATATCTTCAATGGCCTCAGGGATTGAAGAGAAACCTGGCGTTGGTAAATCCAACTCATAGTCATCGTCTTCAGAAACGAAACCATTGGCTGGTGCAGGAGCTGAATCAGCAGCAAGTGTTCCAAGGGAAACTGAATCAGCCTTCAATGGATCTTCGATCCGGTCATCAGTGAGAGACCCATTTGAGAGAGGAGCGTTTCCGTTGGTGTAAGAGAGCAGATCATCTTCTCTAGATATCACTGCAGCTTTAACTTTTCCAGTGGTTTTAATGGCGAATGATGATGGATGGTTTGATGGTAAACTAACACGGTGTGATCCATGGAGCAATGTAGTAGAGCTTTGGCTTAGTCTGCACAGAATCGGTGACGCTATAATAAGCAAAAAAGATTATTCGCAAGCGTGTGAAAGCTAAGAATCTCATGATCCATATATCTAATCACAAATTCTTAGATCACGATCTTTCCATAGAGATTCCATCAGCTAAAATTCGAATTGAATCTCTTTTCGAGTCGATGCCCCCAAATCATTGACCAATTCACAGAAGCGAAGCTAAATCGGGAGATTAGGAAGAAAAAAAAAACTCACCTAGAGCGGGCAAGAGATATGGTGGAAGGAGACGAAGACGATAGATTGATCGAAGACATATCTCTCTGAAGAAAAACCTTAACGCGAAATCCAGAAAATGGCTGGATTTTTAATGAAGATCTCCGAGAAAACCCACTTCGGTTCTCCGATTAATAATTTATTTAATAGATTGGAGTCTTTATGAAGAAGATGCGGAGAAAAACGAGCAGAGAGAGAGAGAGAGAGGACGATAGCAATTAGCGAAGCTTTTTCAATGGCGGCGCAAATTGGGAATTGAAGAGAAAAAAAGGATTTGAGGGAATGCGATGATGATTCGGTGAGAGATAAGACCCACTTGCTTGCTTGGCTCCTGTCTTCTCCAACCATTTTTCAAAGCCGTCTTTTATAGACTTTTTTTTCCTTTCAATATTCATATTCATCATAATCTTCTTTTGTTATATACACCACGCCACAAGAAAAGTCGTCTTCTTCTCTAATTAATCTGCCTTCTAAAACTCTAATTATGTATCCATAAAAACTAGCCATTTAATTAGCGCAGAAACTAATAATAAAAAAAAGTGCAGATTTCGATAGAGTGAAGTGACATTAACTAGTAGTATTATTAAGAAATGTCTTTATACAACATTTGTCAAAATGCAGTTTGTAACTAGCTCAATCGGTTTATTAATCAATGGGTTCGAATGGTATGTCAACTGAATAGCAGAATAGCTGAATTATAAAATAGCAGAATCATAGGAATGGAATTATAAAACAGCTGAATAACAAAAAATGAAATTTCACAATGATAGAATGTTGGAATGGTATGTTTTTGGCTGAATAACTGAATAATAAAATAAATAGTACTAAATTACCAAACTAAACATTAAATGTAAAAGTAAAAAAATAATTTAAACGAATTTATAAAATAGTTATGTCCTATAAATTCAAAAAAGAATAATCAAAGCTCAAATCATCCCAAACAAAACAAAAACAAATCAAATATAACAATTAAAACAAATGAAAAAAAATTTGAGAAAATATTCTGAAACTAAAAAACTCCTATGCTTCCATATTCCATAAGTGAGATGCAATCTGTTGACGAACGGTTTGCATACTTACGTCCTCTTCTTGCTCATGAACATTAGTATCACTTCTTCCTGTGTTTTCATGATCATTGATATCAAATCTATCCGCTTCTTCAAAATTTTAATCTGGAATTTGAGATCGCGGTATACAGTTGTGTAAACCCATCATAGCTGCAACAATTTTCTTCCTTAGTATGATTTTTTGGTAATTTTTTATCAACTATTATTCCTAAGTATAATTTTCATCAACTACTTTGAACACAATAAAATAATTTTCGATGTCTTAAAAGAGTAATTTAAGAAATATACTTACATCACCAAAACCACGAACTTGTGAATCTGACTCATCAGACGAACTCATGATGCAATTGGAAATCTGCAGTTTCATAGATAGAGAATAGTTAATATGACAGCTTGAATTTAACTAAGTATTTCATTACCTTAATTCTAAGTCCATAATTCGTAGCTATTGAGGTGCATATGCCATCATAATAGCAAATCTAATAGAAACAAAAACGAAAAAAAACTATCTTCTCAGTTGACTGCGTTCCATCTATGTCTATAACTAGGTTATTGATAGTTTAAGTAGAAAGATGGCGGTAAAAGATGGCGGGATGTAATTCGGCGCTAATATATGGAGGCAAAACTAATTATTAATTTATTATAATGAAAAATAAAATTATAACTTATTTTAGGGTAAAAATGATTAACAAAAAAATTAATTACTTTGAAACGCCAAAAAGCTGCTTTTAAGTAGATGAATGAAGTTTTGTGTAAACTAGTTATAAATATAAAATATGCGGGATAGTTTTGAAAAGCACTTGTTAATTTTTAATTTTTATCAGTACGTGTTGTCGTGAATGATATGTTTTCAGCGAAATCACATTTTCAAAACGTAAAAACGTAAAAAAACTACATACCATTCAACACCAATATGATTTCACGATTGCCCGAAGATACGAATCACGTTATAACTCAATAAACTAATACGACGACTGGGTTTACCGATGGGGAACCTATGTGGCCATGTGCTGTAAACAATTATTAAAATCAAAAGGGATTGTGATCCCATCCACTGATCCACGATTCCATAAATCTCTCGGTATACGTGATAACTCTAATATAAAATATGCATTCTCTAAAAACATGGTGAGAGACTTTCACTAATTTAATAATAATAATAATTTTAATATAAATTTATTGATATTTTAAATTATAAATTATAAATAAAATTTTAACCATTTTTCAGAATTTCTAGTTTTTTTTAGTTTTATTAGTATTTAATATTGAGAGATCACCAGTACAGATAGTCTAAGAAATTATTTGAGTGGCAGCCTATTCCCAGTGAGAAACGAACCGTACATTTTTGTGTTTTTTTTTTCTGAGTGGCAGCACGTTGAAATGACCCATGCAACATCACGTTTCCGTGGTTCAGAAATTAATTAGAGACGATATTATTATGAAATGAGACAGATATATACCGCATGTGGTGAGCGAACAAGTTGTTCACATCATGGCAGAGAAAACGGACATAGTAGTAATAACATTTAGAATTAGAGTTAATCTTTTTCATCTCCATCTCCACATCTTGACAACAACTATCTCAAGTCTCGACTTATACTTGGTCGGTTTTTTTGTCCGGTTTTGTTCCAGATGTTAGAACTTGGTCCATTTTGTTCAAGGGTTTTGTTCACCAGGAAACACTTGATAGACAAAGATTTTATGAATTAGGCTATTAACACAAGTTTTGTTTTGTTAATCTGACTCTGAATATTTGTCACCAAAGTTATCATTTTCTTCATTATAATTTCAGTTTCAGACACCTCAATTCCATTTGGCTACTATTGAGTCCTCAGGGCCCATCTTTTGATGGATATGTTACTGTTTTACTATTGTTTCAATTAAAACATCCATTGGGCTATTATTGAGGCCTGAAGGCCCATATTTTGATGGATATGTTGCTGTTATATTACTGTTTCTATGTAAACGTCCATTGGGCTACTATGATCAGTTATCATCTTCTAAAATTTGAAGTGGTTCGGTTAAGTTGGCTATGGTTCCGTGTTTTTTGTCCGGTTAAAAGAATAAACCAAAAACCAAAGGCTTTTTAGGTTCATTTTTAATTTCACAGTCTTCTTCACATCCACTCATCATCATTGCTCTCCGGCGAGAAGACACCGCGACTGACGATAACACTTCGCCGTCACTCTCTCTCTCTAATCGCCAGCGATGGAGAGCTTCGCACTTCACTCTCTCTCCACCACCGCCACTTCCGCTTCCTTCTCCCATCACCCCTCACGCCTCTCCCTTCTCCGCCGTTTCTCATCGAGATCTCTGCCTTCAACCATCTCTCTCCCTTCTCTCCCATCTATCCGATCTCACTCCGTTCAACCTCTCAATTTTCCTCTCCTCAAACCAATTCCCCGTTTCTCCACACGAATAGCCGCCGCACCACGAGACGACGCTCCTCCTCCTCCTACGCCTTCCGAATCTCCGTCTCCTCAACCGCTTCAAGGGGCGAAACTAGTTCCTCTGATTCTCTCCGTCTCCGTCGGTCTAATCCTCCGATTCGCTGTTTCAGTACCGGAAGGAGTCACGCCGCAAGGCTGGCAGCTTCTCTCGATCTTCCTCTCCACAATCGCTGGCCTCGTCCTTAGCCCTCTTCCAGTCGGAGCTTGGGCTTTTATCGGACTCACCGCTTCGATTGTCACGAGAACGCTCTCCTTCTCAGCCGCTTTCTCGGCCTTCACCAGCGAGGTCATCTGGCTCATCGTCATCTCCTTCTTCTTTGCTCGTGGATTCGTCAAGACAGGTCTCGGCGACAGAATCGCCACTTACTTCGTGAAATGGCTTGGGAAGAGCACCTTGGGTTTGTCTTACGGGCTTACGCTTAGCGAGGCCTTGATCGCTCCTGCAATGCCCAGCACGACGGCTAGAGCTGGCGGCATTTTCTTGCCCATCATCAAGTCTCTTTCCCTCTCGGCTGGAAGTAAACCGGGAGATTCTTCGTCGAGGAAATTAGGGTCTTACCTGATCCAGTCCCAGTTCCAGGTTAGCTCTTGCTTATGAAACTTTAATGTCAGAATCTGGATCCGTTCTTAGTCAGTAGTGCGTGTGCTGTGTGATGCTGAGAAAACAAAAATTTTGCAGCTTGGTCCAATGTGTCGCTTCATCTGTATATATTAAGTATAATGGAGATGAAGAGAGAGCCATTGTGTGAATCTGCCGACTGATTTTAATGTTATGTGTTATACTTGGGCCATACCTTTTATGCCTGTTCTTGACTTTAATGATTTGACAGTGCAGCAATCTTCAACCGAACAAGTCTTTTTCTAATTGATCTTGCTTATTGTGTGATCTTTGACAGTGCGCCGGAAACTCGAGTGCTCTTTTCTTGACCGCCGCTGCTCAGAATTTGCTGTGCCTCAAGTTAGCTGAGGAGCTTGGAGTAGTGATCGCAAACCCGTGGGTTTCTTGGTTTAAGGCCGCTAGTTTACCCGCAATCATATCGCTTCTCTGCACTCCACTTATCCTCTATAAGCTTTATCCTCCAGAGACCAAGGACACACCTGAGGCTCCTGGTATTGCTGCATTGAAACTCAAGCAGATGGGTCCTGTCACTAAAAACGAGTGGATCATGGTCGGTACAATGCTTCTTGCTGTCACTCTTTGGATCTGCGGGTAAGCCTTAGATAACTCTCGTGTTAATAATATGTATCGTGGCATTGTGTTTAAATCTGAAACAATACATGGTTCTTATCATATGCAGAGAGACTCTCGGGATACCAAGTGTTGTAGCTGCCATGATCGGTCTCTCCATACTTCTTCTGCTTGGTGTACTTAATTGGGACGATTGCCTAAGCGAAAAATCAGCATGGGACACATTAGCTTGGTTCGCTGTCTTGGTTGGAATGGCAGGACAGCTCACAAACCTCGGCGTAGTAACGTGGATGTCTGATTGTGTAGCCAAAGTTCTCCAATCTCTGTCCTTGAGCTGGCCTGCTGCGTTTGGGCTTCTCCAAGCGGCTTACTTCTTCATTCACTACCTTTTCGCAAGCCAAACAGGTCATGTTGGAGCTCTCTTCTCGGCTTTCCTAGCTATGAATATAGCAGCAGGTGTTCCAGGCATACTTGCTGCACTCGCTTTAGCTTACAACACCAATCTCTTTGGCGCTTTGACTCACTACAGCAGCGGTCAAGCCGCTGTCTACTATGGAGGTATATCTTATGAACACAGAGCTATCTCTCTTTCTCTTTATGTTTAAAGACTCTCTAACTTTGGCATTTGCTTTCATGTTTTTGGCAGCGGGTTATGTTGATCTACCTGATGTATTCAAGATTGGATTCGTGATGGCTACCATTAATGCGATCATCTGGGGAGTAGTGGGAACTTTCTGGTGGAAATTTTTGGGTCTCTATTGAGAGCTTAAATGAAAAATCACCGCAAGAAGTTGTTGTTGAAGACGGTAACAGTTTCCTTGTTGATCATTTGGTGTCAGAGGGAGTTTTTTCTCCTTTTAAATTTACTTGCAATTAGAGGGAATCGGACAATCTTTCTCACGTAGATATACAGAGGATCTGTCCCCATTTGTTTCTCCCTTATGAAATATCGTACTTTTCAGAAAAAAAAGAAAGTTTAACAAACAAGATGAACTATTACACACTGAAAATTCTTAAAAGTGATGAAAATGAAAGGTGTTTAACAATAACTTAAAATTAATCAGCGCCACAAGCATCACTCTCATGTGTCCCCTCAAGATATATGAATTGTACAATCCCCAAAATTTTGTGTTTGTTCTATAATTTTATGTGTTTAAAAGAGGTTAGTATGTCACATTCTTTTTGCTAGTAGGGTAGCAAACAACAAAACAAACTACTCAAAAGGCAACGAGACAAAGTCCTGAAAAATAATTGCCGCAACTTCAACGAGGAAAAAAGAAAAGAATAACGTTGTGCATCAGACCAATAATTCTTCATAAAATCTGATTATAATACGATAAGATCTGATTATGAAGACTGTATATATATTATACTAATACAGTAAGATCGGATCAACAGATCTTCGTTGTATTGTTTTAAGCTTGATTTTCGCCATTTTTTAAAATCGAATTGTGATTCAATCTCGTTTTTGTTGCAGCAAAAGGAAGAAGAGAGGAAATGGAGATGAGAGCTTATGACAGAGAGACAAGATCTCTTGTTTATTGTAATCGGATGAGTTGGCAAAATCTGAAAGGGTATTTTTGTAATTTACACCACTTAATTAGACCATCTATCTCTATGTTTTATAAGCTAAAGTAAATATCAATTTCCCTCCTCCGGCGAGAATTAACACTACGAAATCGGAGAACTCTCGGCGATGGGGAGTTTCACTCTCCGTTCCCTCTCAATCTCCGCTTCTTCATCAGCCTCCTTCCTCTCTCTCCGCCGCTCTCCGTCGAATTCGTTATCGCTTCCTCAGCCTTCGTTTTCTGTTTACTCATCCCCAACAGTCCGATCACTCTCCATCTCCTCCACTCGGTTCACTCCACGCGCCGCCGCCTCCTCCTCCTCGGAGAAACCATACCGATCTCAATCTTCTTCTTCGCCACTGAACAAACCTCAGCCGTATTCTTCGCCGCCGCAAGGAGCGAAGCTGATTCCTCTAGCAATCTCCGTCTCAATCGGTCTCATCGTCCGATTCTTAATCCCTAGACCGGAACAAGTGACGTCACAAGGATGGCAATTGCTCTCAGTTTTCCTCTTCACGATCTCAGGACTCGTCCTTGGTCCACTCCCTGTCGGTGCTTGGGCTTTCGTCGGCCTAACCGCTTCGATCGTCACCAAAACGCTTACCTTCTCAACCGCTTTCGCCGCTTTCACCAATGAGCTCATCTGGCTAATCGCGATTTCCTTCTTCTTCGCTCGCGGATTCATCAAAACGGGCCTCGGCGACAGAATCGCCACGTATTTCGTAAAATGGCTCGGCAAGAGCACTCTTGGTCTATCGTACGGTCTCGCCTTCTGTGAAGCGTTTATGGGTCTGATTATGCCGTCTCCGATGGCTAGAGCCGGTGGCGTTTTCTTGCCGGTGATCAAATCACTGTCTCTCTCCGCCGGAAGTAAACCTGGAGATCCATCTTCGAGAAAACTTGGTGCTTTTCTGATTCAGACTCAGTTGCAGGTAAAGCAAATCCAGATTCACTTTTGTAAGTTCAATCACTATCAACAATCCAGATATTCATGTGTTTTCACTGCAAGTAGTTAACATGATTTATTATTGGCTTGTGTAGAATTTAAAGTTAGAAAAAATCAAATAAAAACTGTGAATTTTTATCCAATATTTGCTATTTTAGAACTCTGGATTAGTCCGAATATCATGGGCATGTATATTGGTAAAATGATCAAATCTAAAATGAAATGTGGTGGAATCAACTAATGATTCAAAAATATCAATAAACAAATAACACACCAACAGAATCAATAACGGTTTAAACCTCAAAAGCTGTTGTGTAAGCTCTCTCTTCCTGACTTGAGGTTTTATGGAATTATTTACGTTCTGTGTGACAGTGTTCAGGAACATCTGGTGCGCTTCTCCTCACATCAGCTGCACAAAACTTGCTATGTTTCAAACTAGCGCGAGAAGTTGGTGTGGTACTCACAAACCCATGGGTCTCATGGTTTAAAGCCGCGAGTGTTCCCGCGTTTGCGTCTCTTCTTTGTACTCCTCTCATCATCTACAAGCTTTACCCTCCTGAGCTGAAACACACACCAGACGCTCCTGCTGCAGCTGCAAAGAAACTAGAACGATTAGGTCCCATCACGAAAAACGAGTGGATCATGCTGGCAGCGATGGCGTTCACCGTCTCTCTTTGGGTTTTCGGGTTAGATCTCTTGCAAATCTGAACGCAGAGTGTTTAGTATCATCTGATCGAAATAGCATAAATAAACTACAAAATGCTAAAAACCTATTTACATACTCATAACAAGAGTGATTATGCGGCCAATTCAATATCATTAACCATCATGTGAAAATCCAACATTTTTTACGGCGCAGAGAGGCAATAGGAATAGCAAGTGTTGTGTCTGCGATGATCGGTCTATCGACGCTTCTGCTGTTGGGAATCATAAACTGGGACGACTGTCTAAGCGAGAAATCAGCGTGGGACTCGCTCACTTGGTTCGCGGTGTTGATTGGTATGGCAGGACAGCTAACGAACCTCGGGGTCGTTGCGTGGATGTCGGATTGTGTGGCGAAAATGCTCCAAGGACTGTCCCTGAGCTGGCACGCGTCATTCGTGATACTGCAGGCTTGTTATCTCCTGATCCATTACCTATTCGCAAGCCAAACCGCACACGCAGGAGCTCTCTATCCGGCCTTCTTGGCGATGCAGATCGCTGCTGGAGTGCCTACGGTTCTAGCAGCGCTTTGCTTGTCTTTCAATAACAATCTCTCTGGTGCAATGACACATTACAGTAGTGGACCAGCTGCTTTATACTATGGAGGTTTGGTTTCCTCTTTTCCCCTATTTTCCATAACGCTTATCCATTTGACTAACCCAACAATGTATTTAATTCTTATGTTTCTGTTTTTGTGTCCTGATTTGCAGCTGGATACGTTGATCTTAAAGATATGTTTAGACTCGGGTTCATTATGGCTTTTGTACAAGCAGTCATTTGGGGATTTTTCGGATCTTTCTGGTGGAAATTTTTGGGTCTCTACTGAAAATGATCTGGGCATGCATTTTACCAACATCTAAACAAAAAAAAAACTGATTCTTCCGTCTTTTACTTTTGGCCCACTTCATCTTGTTTCTGAACCAAACTGAATCGAACTAAGACAGTTCATGAACCGGTCCAATTTCATTCACACTTCCACAGATCTGTAGTGCCCAATTTCATTCACCCTTCCACAGATTTGTAGTGGAATCTACCAAGACTCTGAACAAACCAACTACAACTTTCTTAATTACGAAGGCCAAAGACCTGGACCCGCAGCTAAATTGCACAACAAAATGAATCTAAAGTCAAAAATTAATTTAATACAAAACGAGAAACTTTATTTTCCTAGATTTGCATTCGGGATAATTTCAAAGTGTCAGCAATATAAGACTCTGTTTTGAGCCCTTGAAACTTTTAACGTCATTTGCTGAACCTGCAGCTGAAATTGGGCATGACAACGAAATGAATAATGATACCAAACGTGAACATAGGTTTTCTAATTTGCAGAAAAAGAAAGAAAAAGGTTTCTGCGTTCACAAGAGTTTTATACAAAGCAAACAAAGGCCGAATACCAAAAAAACAAAATAGGAGACACTAAAGAGTAGTTAGGTCTTATCTTTTTCTTCAGACGAACATCGTCAACTCTGGTCGGCTATAAACATTCTTCTGCTCATCCTCAAGGACCGGATAGGCAGCAACAAGCGTGTCCTGAGCACCAATGTATAGCGAATTGTATATCTTCCAGTACACTTCACGGACTTTGCGCGCCGGATGAAACAAACCCTGCAGACAATAGTTGAGAATCACGGCTGCACCTAACGCAACTCTCATCCCTTCGATGGCCTCCATCACAGCGTTGATCACGTGGGGAGATGTTTCGAATATGTTGGGCCAGATGAAGTTAAGCAAGTGAACCAAAGCGTCCTCGCAACCCAAACCAGCTACACCTAAGGCCATGTGTTTCACTGCGGAAGCGGCCGTCTGTCTGTGAACCAAATCCCTGTCCATGAGCGCATCTTCGAGCAACGGTGTGACCGCGTATATGTAATCTTTGCCCATTTCTCCAATGTATTCGAAGAGGAAAGAGAGCGATTTCAGGACACCGTTTTGGACGTTGAGCTCCGGAACACGGTACTCGTTCATCAAAGCGGGCAACACAGTAAACGGGGAACATGTTTCAGCGACTATGGCGATTGCCACTGTGGTGCATACACGGTTCTGACGTTCTTGCACTTTCAGATTGTTCAGTAAAGTGGCTAAAACGTCTTGTGGTCCAATGGCTTTTGCAATGTACCCGAACGTGTTGACTGTGGCACGCCGGATACCTTTCTTATGCGCCTTAAGCATTTCAAGAAGCTCGAAACAGATTCTCATCCACTCTCTTGCCGGAACAAACTCAGCACCACGATCAGCAATCCTACCAACAAGGTCGATACAATTCTCTTGCACTTTCTCGTGTCTGTTCTTCAAAATCGGGGTCAGCCTTGGAAGCAGATCCTTAATCGGAGGTGTCATCTTTGTCATACCAATCACGTTGACGATAGCTTTTAAAGCTCCAAGAATCGATCCCAAGACTTCGGGGTACTCTTCTCCAAGATATTCATACAAGACAACGCCGAGATGTCCCATTAACTGTTCCTCTCCACATTGCTTCATAACAACCGCAATTCTAGAAATAAGATCAGCGGCTTGTTGTCTCACCTTCGCACTCTTGTTGTTTAATCGCCACTTAATGGTACCACAGATCTGAGGGAGGTAAGGCTTTACTCGCAGACCAAGACCATTCACTACAGCACCGAATCCATTAAGCATCACATTAGCATCGTCGCTAGTCTGTTCTTGGAAAGCATAAAGGATACCATCTATAAGAAGTTCCTCCAATTTCGCATCAATATCAGTTGTTCCCAAGTTTGTGACAACCTTGTCAATGGTTTCCATAACCATACATCGGTATTTTTCACTCTCGTCTTTAAGACCATCTTCAGCAAGTTTTCCTCCTATGATATCTGCAACACCAACCTTGTTGGCAATCTCCACAGTAGTTTCAACAAGCTGCTTATAGTTTCTCTTTTCAAGAGCCATTCTCCTAACCCAGAAATGATTGAAAAACTCAGGCAGAATATCGCTGCGTATGTAATCCGCTTCAACACCTTCTGTACTTACACACTGTTTCACCACCTTAAGGACAATCTTCTTCATCTCTTCATCAGGCGACTGGAACTCGCGTATCAAGATAACCATCACTTCTTTTGTATAGTAGCTCGCATATATAGCATCCATCAAGGGAATGATGAAACCAATCGCCTTCAAGAATGCAGCCAACACTTTACCACGGTGAGACCTGATACCTTTCCACAGAGGCTTCAGAACAGAGTCGAAACTCTCAATACCATAAGGAGCAGCAGCCTCGGCAAGAGCAGCCAATGACAGGGCGGTAATCGTCCTAACCTTCTGGTTTTCATCACTGAGACCATGTTCGATAATCTCTACTAGAGACCTTAAGTGAGGCAGGACGGCACAGCCAATTAGTATGGCAATCTGCTGAACAATCTTAATTCCAGTGTGCCGTGCCTGCCATGACTTCTTACTCTGGCACACGGCTTTCAGGAACGGCAAGAGTGCAGGGATTCCAAGAGCTGAAGCCACCACACTGAAAGCTCTCGCTGTTGTGTTCCTCACATATTCATCCGTATTGTCAATATCAGGACGCATAGCTGCAATCATAGTGGCTAAACCAGCAGCTTTGCTAAGGTTAGAAATAATTTCTCTCCCTTCTACACGAGCATAATAGTCTTCATCAATCAACAACGGCTCGATAACTACAAGAATTTTGTGGACGAAAGGCCTTACCAACTCATCAAGTCTGTACAGAATTCTTTCAATTACTTTCACCAAAAGATGCCTCTCTTGATCTTCCAAAGTGGGTTGCATGAGCAATGGCAAAATTTTATTGAACAAAGGACCAGCACCAAGCTCACGAGACTTATCAGAAAGCTGCCTTAGAGCTGTTTTCCTCTGGGCAGGCGTTCCATTTTTAACCTTCAACAGCAGTTTCATTATCTTGCGTTCTTTCTGCTCCTCAGGAGACAGCTCTTCTTCGTTCTCTTCATTCAACAGAGCCCCGAAATACTGATAATCCTCTGGTTTCATAAACGGCAGCCCACCAGGAACTTCCGGGGGCACATCATACTGCTGCCCACGGTTTTCTTCGGGAATAATATAGCCGGGAGTTGTCATGGGTGTCGGGGTTCCTTGAATCTTCTTAGCAGGGGTTCTGATGGGAACATAAGAAGCAGGCGGATCCAAAACCTTGTACCCTTCTGCGGGAAACATGGCATCAAGCTCCTCATCACTCAATGGTTTGTTTCTCTCTTCGATATCCCTCTCCCACCTCTGCATATTGTACTGCTCCGGGGTCATAACACCAGTACCACGCAGATGAAGCTGGCCCGGAGTTGGAGTAGCCATATCAATCCCGCCGACGGGAGTAACACCTGGAGTGTAAGCTCCAGCAGGAGTCACTCCGCCCATTGGTGTAGCACTTCCCATAGTTGCTGGTGTCTCGTCCCACCTTGAACGTTGACGCTTTGGGGTAGGCGTCGCAAGCCCTTTTGGAGTCGCGTCCCATGGAACGCCTGAAGGAGTTGCACCGGGAGTGACACCTCCGCCTGGTGTTGCATCAGAATCGTTCACACGACCAGGTGTAGGAGTTTCGTCCCACCTGTTCCTTCGTCCAGCAGATGGTGTGGCATCAGAAACTCTCCCTGGAGTTGGAGTTGCTTCCCATCGCCCCATCCCTGGAGCTGCATCGGGTAGATCCCAATCCGAAGTTGATGATTTACCCTTCTTAGAAGCGGCGGCGCCACCATCATCTTCTTGGGGGAGGTCCCACCTGTTTTTCCTCTTCGAAGAAGAAGAAGGAAGGGGAGGAGCAGATGAATCTTTCTGTCCCTTGGCAGCTTCTTCCTCCTCTTTCTTTTTCTTAGCAATGAGCCTCAAAGTTTCATCTCTCTCCCTCTGCAAAGCCGTCTCCCTCATATGGTCCGAGTAAGTCCGAACACTTGGATCCGGCGTCTTCTCGCCCATAGCAAAAGCATCGACTCTATCAGGAGAGAGAACTCGATTGAGTCTCCTGTTCCTGTATTCACCCTCGCGTTCCGCAATAGTCTGCCTAGGCTTGAATCCCCCATCGTCATCTTCGCTGTGAGGTCGAGCCACGTCGTTGAGAATCGCCCTAGGGGCAGTGTAAGACGCAAGCCGCTGAGCCACGAGCGAACCACTGGTGTCCAGATTCGCATCTTCCTCATCGTTGGGTGCAATAGAAGTCAAGTAAGAGTCACGGTCGTTGCCTCCGTACAGATCGCGATCGAAATTCACAGAATTGAGAGAAGCGAGCTCTGCTTCTATCCTCCGCCTCTCCTCTTGAGTTTTGGCGATCTCTGGATCTAGATCCGCCATTATCGATACTCAAAAAGCTTTCTCAACAACAATTAAAAACCCCTGAAATATTGGGGAAAGAGTAAATCAGAACGCAAAATCGAAATAGACTACAACAAGATCACAGAGAAATTAATCAAGACAACAAGAAGAACTCACCAATAGTCGGAAATCGCCTGCGAATGAATGTGGGGGAAGTAGAACGCGAGAACTAGGGTTTATCCTGATAAAGCCACGAAAATAAAAGTATTTGAAGGGATTGGAACCGACCAATCGAGCGAGTCGGTTCTCTAATTCGGGTTAGATTTTAATTTCGGCTTAATAGACTCTACTTTGGGCTTACACAAAAAAAGCCCAAATAATAACCCAATTCTCTTTTTTCTTCCATAAGCCCAAATAATAACCCAATTCTCTTTTTTCTTCCATAGGACCAAATCTATCTCACGCTTTAGCCATTTTCATAACATCCATTGCATTGCATGCGAGGCAATGAAATATCAAACTATAAAACTCAAATCCATACACGCATTGTTTTGCTAAACATGACTTCAAATTGTAGAGACACAG